TCAGGGCCGGGGATTTAGCTCAGTGGTTCTGCCGCCTGCCTCACAGGTACAAGGTCCCGAGTTCGATCTCTGGTACCAAATAAATAAATAAATAAAATAAAAACATAAAAATTCCTCATACAGTAGAAATACATAAGGAATGCTATTAATCTTTTTATTCTTTACATTTATGTTCTTTATATTTTCCATTTCCAGAGAGTTTGCAATACAGACAAACTACATACACCTTCTCAGTAAAACAAAGTAACCTGGATCTGGTGATCTTTTGTTTGCTTTATGATTTCTAGAATTCTGTATGTAATATTATTGAAAATTTCCCACTTGTGTGGTCTTTGGAAAGTTAAATACCACTACTAAATCACTATCTTCTCTAGGTGATATATTTGAGTAGGTAAGTAGGGGTTTTTGTGATAATTGGAAATTATCCTTTAGTGATTAAAAATTCAACACCTTACCCTCTCTCTATAGTATCAACGGTGCAGAATCTGGGACAAGTTGCATGAAGAGCATATCAATGCAGGACGTACAGTTCAGGTAAGGCTATTTTATTTTTCTGATAAAACAATATGAAAAAGATAGTCTTAAAAAAATGTAACTAAAATAATATAGATTGAGAGCCGGGGATTTAGCTCAGTGGTTTCACCGCCTGCTGCGCAAGCGCAAGGACCCGAGTTCAATCCCCGGTACAAAAAAAAAAAAGTAATAATAATAATATAGATTGAAAGCTGGGGGTTGAGGCATAAACCTATAATCCCAGCAGGCAGAAGGACTACCTCAAATGTGAGGCCATCCTGGATTACAGAGTGAGTTCAAGGTCAGCCTGAACTTCATAGTGAGAGCCTGTCTCAATAAAAAAAAAAATTATAAAATAATACTAGTTGAGTACCTCTTATTTGAGGCCATACTTTTTTGGTTTTTTTGGGTTTTTTTTGGTACTGGGGATTGAACTCAGGATCTTGAGCTTGAGGCAGGCAGTGGAACCACTGAGCTAAATCCCCGGCGAGCACCCCCTTTTTGAAATGGTTGTGACCAAAAGTGTTTATGATTTCAGATATTTTGGGACATTTGCATAATGAGTTATTGTGGGGATGAAATTCAAGTCTAAAATGAAATTCATTTCACCTTTTATACATAGGCTGAGGGTAATTTTCTACAGTTTTACCTATGTTTTGACTGTAACTTGTCACGTGAGGTCAGATGTGGAATTTTCTATTTGTGGCTTTGTGTTGATGCTCAAAGGATTTTATTTCATGTCACCAGACTTTCCTCTGGAAAAGGATCATCAGCTTATACTCTCACAGTCAATACAATGGACTCTTGACTTAATGAGCTCAATTCATTTGTGAGAGCTGGTTGTACCTGAAGTTCTTGTAAATCGAGACTATTTTTCCCACAAGAAATAATGGAACTACCCATAATACATTCTGAACCTCCCAAATCACTCCTTAACTAACCTTTTCATATAAAAAAGGGTTGTACACTGTGTGTAATGTACTAGAAACACCAATAATTTTCCTTGTGTATTCACCAAAAAGTTATAAAATGTGCCTAGTTTACCAGAAAAATCAGTTGCATACTGTACTCATCATTTCAGTTGACATCTCTGGCTTGCAGGAAGGAAAGATGAATTAGAAAATGGTTTTATTTTGGAAGGGGAGAGTACCCTTCCATAGAAACATCAGGAGTCTGACCCTCTGGTGCCCTTTCTCCCTTGGGAGAGTCTGTAGCCCACTAAGACCTGCTTCTGGATCAGTAGGTCTCAGCTTTTTCAGAACTAAAAATTGGTCTAAGGTTGTCTGTTTCTGTCTTTTCTTTAATGCTGTTCTATAGTATGATATGACATTATCATTAAGCAAGTGAATGCAACGATTGGCTTTTTCTCTGTCTGGGTGGGTCTCTTCTATAAATATTTTTAGCTCTGTCCATTTTTTCAGAATTTCCTTTATTTCAGAAGAAGAACTTTGCTGTACTGATTGTTGATAAGCCCTCTCCTCTTCAGACAGCTCCTCAGCTGCCATTCTCTGTTGCTCAGCCAGGGGTTGCTAAAGTTCCTCTGTAGATAGTTCTGAGGGCTCCTCCATCCATTCCTCAGCATCACCATTATCTGCAAGCCTGTGGACTCTGCTATAGTGACAGTGTCATCAACCTCAGGGTCAGTTGAAAGCCCAGTCTTCAAAGTCTTTCTCCTGTATAATTTTAGGCTGCTCTTTCCTCCATGCAGATCTCAGTGCCCTTAGAGAGACATTGGCCCAGGATTTCTCAGTTAACCCCACTCAGTAAAGGATGTTGTAATGTTCCTTCCAGAACTTTTAAAGGGTTAAATCTGTATCTGAGATGATCTGGAAGCACTTCAGGATCAGTTCCTTGGCGTATAGCTTCTTAAAGTCAGCTATAACCTGCTTCCATAGGCTGTAGTAGAGGAGTTGTATTAGTGGGAAGAACTCCACTGAGAGCCATGGCAGGGGCGGGGGTCGAGCAGGAAAATTGTCTATGATGAGGAAAGCCTTGAGTAGTAAACCCTCATCCTCTAGATATTTCTTAACAGTAGGACAGAAAGCCTCCCTGATCCACTCAAGAAAAAGTACTTATTAGCCAGGCTTTTGTGTTAGATCTCCACATGACCCCTAGCTTATTCTTCATGACTTTATGTTTTATAAACACTCTATGGGTCTCAGTGTGATAAACCAGAGAGGCTTTATCTTGAGTTCACCACTCACATTGGCACATAGCAATAAGGTTAGCCTATCCTTCATAGGCTTGTGGCCTGGCATTTTCTTTTCTTCCTGGGTAATGTGTGTTCTCCTGGGCATTTTCTTCCAGAAAGGGCCAGTTTTGTCACTGTTGAAAGTTTGATAAAAGCAAAAACCATTTCTCTGTGTCATCATTTCAAAGTGGTGTATATAATTTTCAGCAGCCCTTTTATCACCACTGGCTGCTTCACCATGCCTAGTTGTACTATGAACCCCAGTTCTTGCTTTAAAATTGTGAAACCACCCCTTACTGGCACAAAATGTTTCACCATTATCACTCATTGATGGATTATCCTTTATAAGATCTGCATTTAGGGCTGGGGATTTAGCTCAGTGCCATGACTTGCCCATGACTTAGGTTTCGCCTCCTGCTGCGCAAGCACAAGGACCTGAGTTCAATCCCTGGTACAAAAAAAAAAAAAAAAAAAAAGGAGTGATCTGCATTTATAGCCCTAGCTTTTTTACAAATTGTAGACTCAAATAGGCTATAATCTGCCATCTGCCTTTTGTTTATCCACACTAATAATAGCCTTTCTACCTTGCCTAACACTGTTGAGCATGACTTACTAATTTGAGTAACACCCTTAGCAACACTAGCTTCCTTATACAAATCTTTTCTCTGTAAGATTGTTAAGATGGTGGATTTTGACATGCTGTACATGTTAGGGAGATTGATCACACGGATCCCACTCTTGTATTTCTCCACAATTTTCATCTTCTTTTCAATTATGATTACTTTCGTTACCTTCCCTTCCTTTCTTAGCTTCTTTTCTAGCCTTTTGGGGGCCATTTTGAGAGCAGTAATCATAGCAGTTGTATCAAGTACTGATTGAAATCACATCCACAAACATGCACACTGGGCTCATACTGACGCTTACTTACATTTACATATGCTTTTCTGGCATCAAGAGTCTTTGTTTACAACTGCTCAAATGGCTGGCATTTGGGTTGCAAGTCAAGATTTTGATCGTAAGTTTAAACTAAAATCCAAGTTATCATATGTGAGGCCAGTTGTGACTTGAGGGTACACTGTACCTTGTCCAAAAACTTAAACTGGTATTATCCATTTCTCAAATTTTTGCTAATTGGTAGGCTAACATAATGTTAATTTGTTATTTTAACTTGACTTTTTTTTTTTACTGCTTTGAAAGATGAAAAGGTTTTTTTTCACATATGCCCTGGGAAATAATATTTCATAATTGTTACCTATTTATTTTCCTTGCATATATTATATTATGTTAATGTCTTGTATATGAGCTCCTTATAATTTGAAAGATATGGATCTTCTGTTTATATGTATTGCAGATATTCTTTGGCAATTATTTGCTTCTTTTTTTAATAAAGAAAATATTTAAAAAGTCTTCTATGAAAAAATAAAGCAAAATTTCATAACAAATTAATTAAAGAATAACACTAGTTAATACACTATGTACCATAATCTTAAAAGAATAGCCAAAATGTTAAGAATACAAGTCATAGACAAAAAAAGACTCTTACAAAAAAGAAATAAACAGATAATAGCACAAAACTTTCTTTTCAATAAACTAAGAGATCCTAGTGGTATGAAAGAAACAAGTTAACATATATATTGAAATATTTTTGAAACCACAGAATGTATAATTTGGGGAATTATTAGAACTTCTTCCTCCTTATTTCTCTATCTTATTTTTTTCATATTTTCTTTAACATTTACTAGAACTATGTACAATAAATTTTAGGGTATTTTACATAAGATAGCCACTGTAAAAATTTACATAAAGGAAGGAAGATAAATGGTTAAGGAGGGCCCAGTCCTGTGGGATATTTTCTCAGAGCATGAAAGTCAGAGTTCAGTTGGGGTAAAGGGTTCAGACTGCCAGATTAAGTGGATGTTAAAAAATTTAAAATCCAGGCCTTTGGGTAGATAACTAGACACTGGGACCACCAGCCCCCATCTAGTCATCTACTAGGATTCTTGCCCATGACTTAGGAAATGCCATTCTAAAGATGTTTTTCCCATTAGGCAAAGTCTCAAACATTCATTCAGTCCCGAACATAGAGATGACCTCTCCTCCTTGCCCAGAATATGAAGGAACCCACAACTTTTGGACACTACTGACCAAATCTCCCCAATTTTAGTCCTTATTTCCACTTTTCAGTTTCCCACACCAGAGAAACAATGTTGCACTCAAACATGTTGTCTGATTTATTTCTCTTGAGAGTATAGTCTCAAGATCCATGCATTTAGCTATAAATGTCTGAAGCTCATCCTTCTTTGTGGCAGAGTAGTATTCCGTTGTATAAACCACATCTTTATCCTCTCTTCAGTTGATGGGCATTTGGGCTGTTTCCAAGATTTAGGAACCACAAACTGTGCTGCTATAAATGTGGATGTGCATATATCACTGTAGTAGGATGTTTTTAATTCTTTTGAGAAGATACCCAGCAGGGGAATAGCTGGGTCAAATGGAACCTCTAGTTTTAGTTTTTTTAGAAATCTCCACACTGACTTCCACAGTGGTTGCACCAGTCTATACTCCCACCAGCAGTGGAGAAGGGTTCCTTTTTCCCCACAGCCCTTCCAGCATTTGTTATTGGTTGATTTCTTGATAGCAGCCATTCTTTCTGGAGTGAGGTGGAATCTCAGTGTTGTTTTCATTTGCATCTCTCAAATGACCAGTGATGTTGAACATTTTTTCATGTATTTATTTGCTGTTTGTACTTCTTCATCTGAGAAATGTCTTTTCATTTCAGATGTCCATTTTTGGGATCATAAATAACAGTCCTTTATCTGATGAATAGCTG